GGAGGGACGGGCAGGAGGCGGTTGGGATGGACGGGCAGGAGGCGGTTGGGGTGTACGGGCAGGAGCTGGTTGGAGTGTACGGGCAGGAGCTGGTTGGGGTGTACGGGCAGGAGCTGGTTGGGATGGACGGGCAGGAGCTGGTTGGGATGGACAGTCGCCTCAGCATTTCAGTCACAGAAGATCAAACCAGGCCACCTTATGAACATGGGCACACTAGTGCTCTTCTGGAGAAATTCAACATCCTCAGTAAGATAAAACACAACCTACCACAGTCAGAGTCCCCACAGAAATGCTCCCAACATAAAAATTAGAAGTAGACTGAGAAGGTTGAGGTCTTATGACAGATATAACTCACAAATTATTTTTTTCTTTTTTGTTTTTACAGGGAGGGAGGAAAAGACAAAGTGCAAATGAAAGCCATAACCAACTTCAGCTACCCTAGAAACAACAGCAACTGCACCAGTGATAACAAGATCAGTCAAGTCATTTTTCCTTTGCTTTACACAATTCTGTTCCTGGTGGGCATCACCATGAACGGCCTGGCCATGTGGGTCTTTTTTAAAATATCCAGTAAATCCAATTTCATCATCTTCCTCAAGAACACCGTCATTTCTGACTTGCTCATGACCTTGACTTTTCCGTTTAAAATCCTTAGTGATGCAAAGCTGGTGTCGTGGGTACTGAGAGGATTTGTGTGCCAGGTCACCCAGGTGGTATTTTACTTCACCATGTACATCAGCATTTTATTTCTCGGCCTAATAACTATTGATCGCTACCAGAAAGCCACTTCTCCATTCAGAACGTCAACCCCAAGGAGCCTTTTAGGTGCCAAGATCCTGTCCACAGCAATCTGGGTCTCAATGTTCGTCCTTTCATTGCCCAACATGATTCTAACGAACAAGAAGAAAACGCCTAAAAATGTCAAAAAGTGCGCCCTCTTGAAATCCGAGTTCGGTTTAGTCTGGCACGAAATCGTAAACTATATTTGTCAACTTATCTTTTGGGTTAATTTAGCGGTCATAGTTGTATGCTACATACTCATAAGTAAAGAACTGTACAAGTCCTACAAAAGGACAAGAAGCACAGGAAAGGCATCCAAAAAGACTGTAAATCTGAAAGTTTTCATCATTATCGCGGTGTTCTTCATTTGTTTTGTGCCGTTCCACTTTACCCGGATCCCCTACACGTTGAGCCAAACGAGAGACGTTTTCGAATGCTCTGCTCGCAACACGCTGTTCTACCTGAAAGAGAGCACGCTGTGGCTGACGTCGCTGAACGCTTGCCTAGACCCCTTCATCTACTTTTTCCTCTGCAAATCGTTTCGGAAGTCCTTGCTAGGCACGCTGTGCAAGCACACGGCATCCTCAAAGCTCCGAGCCCGGATGAAGGAGCAGAACGAAGGAGACGACACAGACGAGACGCCGCTCTAGAGCCACGAACACGCACCTCGCTCCTTGGCCACAGGCATTTATCGGTGGGTGTCAGCAGCACAAATCCCGCAGAAGACCGTCTAGAACGTCACCAATTTCGTTAGAAACTGCTCTGCAGATGCGGCACCAGCACCCTGGAACCAACATCACCAGGTGCAAAAATGGTGAAACTAGATGGCTTGAATAAAACGAGAGCAACTCCTGACGGCATCCTCCCCACCTGCCGGAACTGCCAGGAAGAAGTTTGAACTCCTGGTTGGAGCCGTAAGGAAAAAATATTAAAATACGGTCATGAAATGCTACAGATGCAATTACAAACTGCAAAGGTTTTGAAGAAACAGCTTAACTCCAGCCAGAGCAAAGCCCACAGCAACACAAAATTTGGGAAATGCAGCTAAAAACCACAGTAAATGTAATTTTTTAAATAAAGGGAGTTGTCACCTTGCACGCAACCGCAAAACAAACATGAACACAGGACGTACGTAGATAAGCTATTTATCTGTGTAGAATTTTGGTAACAGAATAACACTTTGTTTATTTTTTTATAAGCTTGCAATTCTTAATCCATTGACCAATAATTAATAGTTGTATATCAGAGGAAATTATTTCGTAGTAAGACTTATCTTGACGCGAGTTAAATCTTCAAATACTTCACCTTACTATATGAATAAACAAAAATGTACACTTTACAGAGAATATATTGTATCAGAGAATACACAAAGACTCAATTTACAGAATACTTGATCTTGGGGAAAGGCTGACTCATGGTAAAATATTTACTGATTATTAAGGGCAGCTTTTTTGCGCTATAAAAAAGAATTAACCACTTCCCCTGTTGCATTTGGAAAAGCTGGAAAAAAACCCAGGGAAGTATTTTTAGGTGCACAACATTTCCAGGTGTCGTAACGACCCACACATGAAGAAGAATCCAGGCTATTGTAATAAATTATGTAATAAATCATGGCAAAACAGCTCCAGTTCAGAAATAGGTTTCACCATCAGGCAAGAGCTGCGTCCGGCCAAAAGCCACCACTCGTCTGCCAAGGGGGGGGCACCCGGCGCTTTTACGACCGATACCCAATTTCCTAAAAAGTTAAAAGACTGTTCACTTACTTCAGCACTCGGCCCTAAAATTTATGCACCTCTCATAACTGGCCTGGGTGAGTTAAATATTTTCAGCGCTCAGCCCGAGAGTTTATGCACCTCTTACAACCTGCCTGGGGGAACTAAATGTTTTGCAAAACATTTAACACCGGTATCGGCACCGACACCAGTTCCAGCCAGTCACCGGGTGGGTCACACCACACACGAGGTGGGTTTGGAAGAACACGTGGAAGATGCTGACCCTGACATCAGTCTCAGGGTTTCGCAAAGAACCGTCTCAGCCTCATAGAGCCCTCAATGACTGAAGAGCAGCGGGGTCAGGGAGCTCCGGGATGTGTCACACCGATGACAATGGCAAGGGCGACCTTCATCCCGCTCATCCTCGGGGCTCCGTGCTCTCTGTCAACCATTGTGCACCGACAGCAGCGCGTGCACCTGCGGTACCCACAGGTGGGCACGAACACGCCGACTCACTGTCCATGGAGCTGCCCCCAAAACCCCCAAAAGCAACTCCTGTCTGCCCACAGCGGGACGGCTCGAGGGACGGCTCGAGCGCGAGCCACTGCCCCCGCGGCAGCAAGGAGCCGCAGCCCTGAGCTGCAGAAGTTGACAGGAGAACGCAAGACAACTGTCACAACCCAGTTAAACTTACACACATAAAAAAATTCTGTTTACAGAGGAATGCACCAGATTCGAGCACTGCACGTAAGAAACCAGACTAAATACAGAGCATGCCTGCAGCAGCTCCTGCCAGAACCAGCCAGTGGCCGTAGCCAGCTCACTGCATCCCCAGGCTACTCTGATGCCAAAATAAACCAGAAATCCCATTCTGGAGACAAAAACAAGCTCAGGTTCACCTGTCACTGTAATCAGGCTACAGAAGGAGGGTTTGCTGTCCGAGTATGTCAGCGCACGCAGTTTTGTATCCCCATAACCCACTGCAAGGGGGGCTCCGGGCAGAGTTTCTGGTCACAGACAATGACTAGAGCCATCCAGAACAGGGGAATTCACACACACAAACCACAACTCAGAGCTACGCTACACTTGAGGATTATCCTGGAAAACTGTCAGGCAACACTCCTGTCTGCTCATCTCACATCTCTAAAGGGGCCAAATCGTCTCAGCACAGTGTAGGTGCCATCAGGTCTGCCCCATCTAAAAAGCCAGAAAGTGTGCCTGTCTGGATGGATATGGCTATTTTTTTTCTCTATTAATATAGGAGTTAAGCATACTTTCTGCCAGAGAGCAAAAGGAAGAGAGAAAAGCAACAGCAAACACGATTAACTAACTCAGACGACACATCAGAATGAGGAAGGAAACACCACAATACACCAACAGAAAACGTCTCCTCTTTCTACACATTTCCCCATTCTCAACACTTTGCTCAAGGCATCTGTCAGCAGGGGAACGGCAGGTGAACCGCGGCAGGCAGGGGCCCTCCTCACAC